GAAATAAAAATGCCGACCTCATGAGGTCGGTATTTTAATTACATACTATTTAATTTTACCGACTTCCGGAAGTCGGTATTATAATTTTTTTATTTACACAAAACCGTTCTCCGGAAGACGATTCAAATAAAATTAATTCAAAATAATTTTTGATTTTGTTTTTTATATTTAATTGAGAAAAAATAAAAATATTGTTACTTATTTATTTAATACCGACATCAAGAGGTCGGTTTTTATTGTAATTCATTTTTTCGGGAAAAGTTTCGACCTTCAGATGTCGGTATTTGGTTTTTTCGCTTTATTTTGCATAAAAATCGACTCCTTGTAGTCGATTTTCTAAAGTTTTATTTTTATTTTTATTCTTTTTAACAATACCGACCTCCGACGGTTGGAAATTACCGATTTCCATTTGAGGTCGATAATTTTTAGGTCGGTATTCACTGTTTTTTTAGTAGTGATAGTTACATACTCGATAATGATTAATTGTATACCTACTCCATCATTTGCAGCTAAGAAGAGATTGAGACAAGGTGACCCTATATCACCTTCAATTCCTTGGTTGTTTTTGCTATGGCCATTGTTTCAATCAATTCTCCCTTGCCTCTGGTGCCATAGATGACCGTTCTTAGCCTGATCCACTAGACTAGAGATGGTTTGACACACTCCTCACCCCTTTTTGTAATTATACTTTTCTAATTAGGAAATGCTTTTAAAATTCTTAACAAGGTCAAATGGACCTAATGTGTCATATTGTAATTTTTACAGTGTGAAAATGTTAAGGTCGACTCTCTATAATCAAGTACAGTTTCTTTATGAATTAACTCCAATAGAGAAAAAATATGAATTGCTAGAGAAGCATTTGTTCTCCTTGATGTGAATGAGTTCATAATTTCATTTACGGTATCTGACAATGCATAAGGTATGAAGTTAATGAAGAAAAGTTTGTTTTCAGAATCAGTATTGACAAACGTTTTTCTTTGAAGTATCTTTTTTTACTACAACTGGATAAACATTATTATATTAGACGGATACAGATGTAGAACGCCTATATATTTGGTTCTAATAGTTATTTTACTAGAATTTAGTTTTCTTTTATGGAGACAGTTTTACATAATGACATATCACAGTTACATTATTAAAAACTTGTATACTTGATTTACACAACTTGAAAATGACTGTGAAATGATTCAATATCTTGGAAGTTGTATTTGATGTATTCCTTTGAGGGGACTTGTATAAAAGTTGCCATTTTTTTGTGTGATCATAATTTGTGTTATCGTCGGAACTTAAGATAACGAAGGAAAGAATGATAGAGTTTTAAACATACACAACCCTAATAGTATGAATGAGTACATGAAAAGTGTGATAATTGATGAAAATTCATTAAATTGAAATTCAATATTGATAGGAAAATTGAAGAAAACAATGACTTACTCCCACATCGCTAAGTGGAGAAGACAAAAGAGTAATGAGGAGATACTAAAATAAGAGACAAAGGACAATAGAGAAACATAATTAAAACATATGAGGTCAATGGGCGATCAAAAAGGCCCATAGCCTAGGCGGTGACCTCCATTTCACTTTGGAGGAGTGCCTTCCTAAAGACGATCCAAGTGGTCGATCCTACATCATAATTTGTGACAGCGGGGGCCTGCATTTGCACGGCCTCTACCCTATTCAAAGTACAACTATTTCTAGTATCTAATTTATAGTCTTGTGAATTATTTGAGCGCCCACATTCTCAATAATTTATATCTTTTTCTATTCTTCACAGCGAAACATTAAAAAACAAATGCTTTGATCTTTATATTAGAATTTACAATTGTATTAATGATTACTAAGAAGTTGCAGAAATATCTATAGCAATCAACATGAAAAAATTGAAAAGAAAAGAAACATAAACAAATAGGTTGATAAAA